CCCCCCGGCTCTGGGTCTCGGAGGGCCTTTCTCCCTGATTTGGGTCCTGCTGGCCGGCTGAGGCCGGAGGTGGAAGCTCTTTGTGGTCCCCATCCGGGCCAGGGAGGTCCCGCCCCGCTTCCGGCGGGTGTCCCCGATCGATAACTCTGGGCCACACAGGGGGTCAGCAGGCACCCGTCCGTCCGTCCGTCCGTGAGTGATGCTGTGTCAGGCAGAGGGGCTTCCAAGGGGGCGGGGATCTTCCTAGGGGCTGCGCTTGTGTCGTGCTTTTTGGGGTGGGGGGGGGGGGGGAGGAACTCTGGGCCACACAGGGGGTCAGCAGGCACCCGTCCGTCCGTCCGTCCGTGAGTGATGCTGTGTCAGGCAGAGGGGCTTCCAAGGGGGCGGGCATCTTCCTAGGGGCTGCGCTTGTGTCGCGTGGCATCCCGTGGGACGGTGCTCCTCCGTAGCATCTCCCTGCACACAGGTTGGGCTGTGGGGCTCCCCTGCCCTCAGTCGGGGGGGGGGGGCATTTTGCATGGGGGCTGGGTCAGCAGAGAGGCAGGTCGGAGGCGGGGGCCCTGGTGACGTCGCTGGCCTCCCCCCCCCCCCCCGTGGCCTCTGCAGCAGAACCCCGGGCTCCCTGGACCCGGCCTGTGCGGTGGCCAGTCCCTGAGAAGAGCCGGGGCCAGGATTCCTGTGGGAACACCTGAGGACGGAACTGGCTTTTCTGGTTCCAGAGGAAGGCAGCAGCAGGGGCAGTTCCCCGGATCTTCTTTGGGATGCCTCCCCGGGTGCTGGGCGGGACCTGCCTCCTGCGTTGTGGGCAGCCGCTCTGAAGACCATCCTGGGCTGTTGCCCCGGGGGGAGGGGGCCTGCCTGTACCCCATCCCTCCCCCAATGCTTGCTTACCATTTGGGGCATGCCCCAGAGGTGCTTGCCCGGGCGGGCCGTGTGGGTGGGTGCCACCCACTGAGCGGCCTCGGGGTGGGGTGGGGTGGGGTGGGGGTCCCCTCTGTGTTGGCTTGTCCAGTGGAGGATGGCTGGTTCCTCCTCCTCCGCACACCGTGGCTTCTGCGCGTGTCCTGGGCGTGGTGCTGGGGTCCAGCCTGTGCGCTGGGTGCCAGGAGGCAGGTAGGGGGGGGGGCACCACCAGTCCCCTGCCGGACTGCCCGGACGATGCCTGCTTTTCCCGGCACCCCTGGATCCAGAGTCAGGCGGCCCCGGAGGAGCAGGGCAGGGCCTCGTCTGCGCAGGGCCCCTTCCCGCGCCCGCCCTCTGAGGGAGAGCGGTGTGGCCTGCCAGCCAGGCTTGGTGGTTTCAGGACGGGGCACGCCTGAGCTTGCTTCTTCCCCAGCTACTGTGGGCGGCCGGAGGGGAAACCCCACCTGTGCCATTGTCGGTGTGCGTGGTGGTGGGGGATCACACCTGACACCTTCTTTTCTGGCTGGCAAGGAGCTCAAGGGAAGGGGCCGGAGGCCAGGAAGTGGGGAGGCAGGGAAGCAGGACCCTGCGGGGGAGGCTGCAGGCGGTTCCAGGACCAGCGGCCTGCCTGGGGCCGCAGGGGCTCCACCTGGGTTCTCACCTGTCCCTAGAAGGCGGCTTTGTGTGCGGCCCCAGGCTGCTCCGCTCTTGGCCAGGCAAAGTCCAGCGGTGGTGCGGAAGCTTCCTGCAGACAGCGTGGGAACTCCCGTCTTGCGGGGGGGGGGGATTGGAATGCAGGGGCCGAGGAGGTCCCAGAGCTGGGGGGTGGGGGTGGAACAGTGGCCTGGGGCTCCCCTCATCAGCGTGGCGCTCTCTCGGTCCAGCTGGCTCGAAGGCCACCTTTGGTTAGGCTGGGAGGCTGGGCTGGTTTCTCCATCCGCAGGGGGG